TAGAGCTGATCAGTGGTATGATGGGTCATTTAATTTGAATATCCCCAACTGAGCAAGCCAAAGGCAACAGTGGCGAGGAACCGAAAAACTCCATCAAGTGACCCGATGGTGTCCTAAAACTCCATCAGATGACCCAATGGAGAAAAAAAAAGGCCGAAGTAGAAGTAGAGGCCGAATTTACAGTAACTGTAAGATAAAATTTATATGAATGCCTGGTTAAATAGATGCGTCTTTAGTCTAGTTTTAAACTGGGAGAACGAGTCTGAGCAACGAGCAATATCAGGAAGGCTATTCCAGAGCTTCGGAGCTAAATGTGAAAATGCTCTCCCTCCTTTGGTGGATCTGGATATCCTAGGAATGACCAGAAGCCTCGAATTTAGTGATCTTAAAGAGCGCGATGGATTATAGGGCGATATAATACAAACCATTTAGAGCTTTATAAGTCAAAAGCAATACCTTGTAATTAATACGGAACTTTATAGGTAACCAATGAAGTGATGATAGAATCGGTGTTATATGATCATATTTTCTTGATCTAGTAAGAACTCTAGCGGCTGCATTTTGGACTAACTGTAGCTTGTTTATTGAAGATGCAGGACAACCAGCTAATAAAGCATTACAGTAATCTAGTCTTGAGGTCATGAATGCATGAACTAACTTTTCTGCATCAGAGACTGATAGCATATTACGTAGCTTAGCAATGTTTCTAAGGTGGAAAAAGTCTTTTTTTGTAACATATGAAATATGCTTTTCAAAAGACAGGTTGCAGTCTAATGTAACACCCAGGTCTTTTACTGTAGCGGATAAAGAAACAGGGCATCCTAATATGTTAAAGTCGTGCTGTGAAAGGTTTTGTGGACGTTTTTTAGAACTGATAAGTATTACCTCTGTCTTGTCTGGATTTAATAAAAGAAAATTACGCGTCATCCAATCTTTTATATCTTTAACACAATCTGTCAATTTGGATAATTTAGCGTGTTCATCTGGCCGTGATGAAATATATTTTCAGTGCTATGATGTGGCCCGAATCCAGACTGAAACTTTTCATAGATGTCGTTTTCTTGCAAGAAAGAGCCGAGTTGAGCGGACACAACTTTTTCTAATATTTTTGACATGAATGGAAGATTTGAGATGGGTCTGTAATTTGCTAGGTTATTTGGATCTAATTGTGGTTTCTTAATAAGAGGTTTTATAACTGCCAACTTGAACGTTCTTGGAACATGACCTAAAGATAAAGATGAGTTAATAATATTGAGAAGAGGCTCTTCCACTATAGGTAACACTTCTTTCAATAGTTTAGTCTGTATTGGATCTAATAAACATGTTGTTGTTTTAGATGAAGTGATAAGTTTATTTAACTCTTTTTGTTCTATGGTTGTAAAGCATTGTAATTGTTCTTGCGGGGTGACAATTGCGGCTGAATTAATTTTAAGCGATTTAAACGTTTCCTTTTTGTTAAAAACCGAGCAAAGAACAACACTCGGAGATGTTTCTCCGCCGCTCTGCATACGTCATCTCCTTCATCGCTCTGATTGGTTTTAGGTCTATCCGCGACGTCCGTTGGTGACGCCCCTCTGGAAATGATTTGTCTATGACGCTTAATTTGTCTATGCCAGACCATAACTCAGTTACAACTAGGGTTGCCAACTTCCGAAAAGAAAAATGCGGGACATATTACTATATTTTGGCGATTTCAGTTTTGTTGACGGGGGGGGGGGGGGGGGTCTCTCGCTCTCTCCCTCTCTCCCTCTCCCTCTCTCTCTCCGCGCTACACGGTTTGGCGCTGACGCACATACAGCTATGTTCGGTCTCGCATGCGCAGCTCTAGATTCTAGGAGATTGAACTAATTTACGGGTCGTGTTGCTGTTGTATCAGTCAGATCAGCGTAGCACTCAATAATCGGGACAAGAGAGGTCCCGATCGGGACAAATAAATTAGGCCCAAAAATCGGGACGTCCCGGCTAATTCGGGACAGTTGGAAACCCTAGTTACAACTGAGAATGGTCTGGTTTTAACCAGGCTACTCCTGTCTTGGTTTTTGAATGACTCAGGCAGATGAAAGACTGTTAGATGTTTAGATGTTAATCCACTAAATGGTTAACGTCAGCGTCACTTTTGTGCATGGTATTCAATGAAAAAACTTCAATGTCTTAATCACTAACCACCTGCAATACACCTTTTCCAGCCACTAAATGCAATAAAATTTCAGTCACTGGCCACAAGTGCATGCATTCATTTTCTGATTGAGGTCCATATCCTGGTTAAGTCTTTAATCTGAAAAAAAAAAGATGTTTACACAGCTACTACTAATATTCAACATATTTCTTGTAATTGATTTTGCTTTTTTTAAGTAGCCTAATATCCATGTCTTTTAAGTAGCCTAATCGCCATGTCTTTAACAATAATGCAGATGCGTACTTTAAAACTCCAAAAGAAATGAATACTTCCACAAAAATATTAAGCAGCACAACTGTTTGCAACTGTGATAATCAGAAATTAGCATATTAGAACGATTTCTAATTATGTGACACTGGAGATTGTAGTAATGGCTGCCGAAAATTCAGCTTTGCCATCACATGAATATATTACATTCTTAAAATATATTCAAATAGAAAACAGTTAGTTTAAATTCTAATAATATTTCACAATATTAATGTTTTTACTGTATTTTTGATCAAATAAATACAGCCTTGCTGAGCATAAGAGACTAGTTTCAAAAACATTTAAAGAAACATACCAACCCCAAATATTGTGGGGGGGGGGGGGGTATTTTCATGCACAGAAAGAAAAAAAACTTCAGTTCTGTAGGATATTCTTAACGTGACCCAATTTTTTTCTTTTATACTTCACGGTGTCACGGTCATCTGCAACCTTGCACTCAGAACTGCACAGTAGGAAGGTGGATCTATATATTTGTCCACAGTAATTTTCAATAAACTCCTAAAATATGTCTTATTTAATATGAAAATATTTTTTTCACAACAGGGGATTCTTTGATTATAATGTCTTTATTTATTAGAGTCACACATGAAAAGGCCAAGATATCCAATGAGGTGTGTACTGTAAATGCATGCATACATTTAATTCCCCCTTCCTAAGCATTGTTTTTCTATAATGCTAAATATAATGCTAATGTTAACATAAATAAAGAACAGTTTATTATACAAGTCATAAGGAGAGATAATTACATACGACACTCTTTTTAATTAGTTGTTTTTCTTGCACACAATAATCCACTGTGCCCACTCAGACTGTTAAATTACATGTCAAATTGTCATAAACCACATGGATCGATTGAGAGACTCAAATGAGAATCCACACACATCATAGTTCTAGAAAACATTGAGGTCCCTCATTCTGTGAAGGGGTTCGGGGTCTACCTGGATACTCAGACACAGGTTAACAAATAGATCTGCAGACAGTAAGTTTCCTGAGCACTCCTAGATTGTTTGCATCCATCCACAATATTCTGTATCCATATACAGGTAATTAACCCCCAACATAATAATTAGCTGTCTGCAGGAAGTGGAGATATGCTGAATTAAAAGTTTTTTTGTGTGGGCTTTTGGTACAAAGTTTTCATCAGTTTGAGATGCAGTCATCGGCTCTGCATCGTTCTGACAGAACGTGTCTCACAGACCTGACAGCATGCATATTGGTGCTGGAACTTGAGACAACGGTAATAGAACTTGCCATAGAGGAAGGAACTGCATGAGTGAACAACTTCAAGGTTGATAAAGTTGTTACTAAACTAAGGCAGAACGAGTGTTTTGTGTCTGTTGGTCAGAGGGAGGAAACCAAAGGTTGTGATTTTGTGACTGTAATTGGTGCTTTTATCTACACCCTTCTCAAATTGGCAGATCCTGTGTTAAAACCAACACCAGAAGCATCCAGACCTCTGGCTCCTTTTATCTTTATCCCCGGTGATTTGCAGAACTGTTTTTTTGTAATTGAACAGGGTTGTTGATGTATTTGTTGCAGTGGTTTCCTGTTTGACCTCATTTTGCACTGATACATGGTCATTGTGTGATCTTTAATGGTTTTGGATGGAAAACCTCTGACATTTGGTTAAAACTCTGGGTGTTTGTTTGTTAGTATGTCTGTCTGTCTGTCTGTGGATTACCTGGCTTGATCGTTTCCCTTCCAAAGAGGCCAAAGAGGTGGTTTTGATCATCCAGTTATTCCGTGGTTAAATGAAACTGGGGGAAAAAAGAGGCATGATAAGCTGGGTTGTATGTATCTGAGCCCAAATTAAAGCTGTAATATGTAATTTATTCACTAATAGTAGATCAGATCTTCATGACATCCTCAACAGATGTGATTTTTACATGGCAAATTTTTTTTTTTTTTCACTTATACCATTTATCTCAGACATGCTCAGGCACAAAGTAAATTGTATCTCTTAAAATGTGACTTGTAATATGTGGTTTTATTAATCCCAATTCTAATCCATCATTGACTCAAGTAACAGTTTGACTAAGTTTGTTAGTATTATTAGTAAAATTCTCCAACACTTTCCTTTGTATAGTGCAGCTCACCACACTGCAAGATCTACAAATACAAACAAATACAACACTCCAGCTCCGCTCTTTTGGCAATAACAGTAGAGGAACAACCTGTCAATTAAAAATGAGCTGTAGATGAAGTTAATGAATTTCATCATGATAAGATTCTGGGTGTTTGAGTGCATCAAGAGAGTGTAGTTGTCACAGCCTTCACTTTAACTACTGAAACCCCAGCAACAGTCTTGAAGTCTGAGTTATTTGTTAGGCTGATGATCTCGTTAGGCTGGTGATCTTTCTAATTAAGAGATGTGTGTGCACATCCATGAAAACCTGTTGCTTCAACTCATTTCATTAGCCTGGTGTTATCTTGTTATCGTAAATGTCAACGTGTTCTGTACAATGTTTGCAAGATTTGTGCTCTTATACATTTAGCCTACAAGCTAATTATTGTGTGATTGAGAGTGTATGTCTAACCGTGGTGTGTTGTGTTTTAGGGTCGTCCTGAGGAGGAACTGGAGCGCCTGACTAAGAAGATGCTGTATGACATGGACAACCCCCCCACTGAGGAGTATTTTGGTAAGTGACCAGTGTACATTGATTTCTCTGTCAGCTAAACCTCAAAATTATTCTTATTTTTATGCATTTCAAATACAGTGGTCTCAAGAAAAGTTTAGTAAAAACATGTTCACACTCACAGTTAATGCGATAAACTACACCTGTGGTTGAGATCTGCCTTTTTACAGCCGTTAAAGCACGTAGCGAAATTACAGAAATAAAGCAAACCCTGCAAACCCTTTTGCGCAAACTCTCGCTATAGGTTGAGCTGGAAAGAGATTGATAGATCTGAGAGTGTTTACACAACACCGTTTTCAACTAAAAACATAACACTTTTTATGCGTTTTGGCCGTTCGTTTACATGACAATGACGTTTTGGGTGCCTGAAAACGCAACGTTTTGAAAACGGGTTTCAAAGTGCAAGTTTTTGAAAACGGTCTCCGTGTAAACTACAAAAACGCGAATCTCTGAAGACGATGACATCATGCACATGCGTATTTTGTGTTTAGTCTATAGTGTTTCATCGCCATCTAATGGCCTGGCAGCAGAATAAAGGGTTTTTAGTTGTTTTCACGGATCCGTGTGAATGGCAATCGTTTTGACAATGGTGTCGTCTGTACGCAGAAAACTCGAAGGAAAAACATCACCATTTTAAGCATATCATTGTCGTGTAAACGTACCCTCAATGTTTAGGTGGTGCCGGGGGGCTCAATCTATACATTTTTGGGGGAGATAAACCCATGAATGGGATACTAATAGCAGTCAATGAATAATAAACTGGGTTAAAATAATGTATTTGTTATGTGATCTGGGAAAACCCACCACATGGTGAAATTTGACCTATTACATATTTGACATATGAAAGCTAGTATCAAGCCCTTTCCAAATCTGTTTTTTTTTTTTTTTTCATAGCTTGTTGGTAGCAAAAGTTATGTTTATCTGAAGTTGGCTGATCGATATGATTTTCAGGAACGGAATTTTGAGAAAGACAGGTTTAATTAACTGTCACCATCCCGCTAGCGGGACGCTTGGTACTCTTTTTTTATTGCCTTTTTTTCACATCACATATTTTAGTAATCATCATAAATTAGGTATCATTTGAAAGCTTACAAACTCAAAATTCATCCTGTGAGTCCACTATGACATCATTTAGGGCACTGACATCCCCAGGAATTAGCAGATTGAGGCGAGCAAGATCATTTAAGTGAGCAGCTATTTCAGACTCCGTTGTTCTCTTGTTCTCCTCCATCTCGAGATAACGTTATAAAACTGCATGTCGTTACAGTTTAAACAGGATTGGCGCCAAATGCGCACTGAAACACCTTCACTGTACATGTTATGTGGTTTATTTTAAACTATGTTTGTAGTGTTAAGAGACGGACAGGTATGGGCGATTTTTTGCACCTCCGCCGGGCGTTAGAGAAATGGTCGCATTAGAGAAAGAGAGTATTTTCAGCTTGCCACTATAAATCGCTATTTTTCTGCACTAAACAAGGGAATTTTGCCAAGATATTTTCAGAGATAAGAGACAAGATGTTATAGAATAATAATTTAATGGAAAAAAAATTTGACAAAAAACTGACAAGCAGACTATTTTTTGACCTTCCTGAAAACGGCCCAACGCGACATCTGACGGGTTTTCCCAGATCGCATCACATTTTAACAAAAATCTTGCATACTTTACAAAATAACCAGTTGTAATTAATCCATTGCAAAACTGACTAACTTAAGTGTCCAAGTACTTTTTAGGGTCACTATATACTTACAGTATGAGAGGTAAGTTTGTGTGCTGCATATAACATTGCATATGTCTTCTTGGCCACATTGACCTTTATTCTGTGTCCTTGACATGAAGACACAAGCAAACATTATTTCTTGTCTTTTTGGGAAGCAGGTGTAGACCACGGGTGCCCGGTCCTGTTCCTGGATATCTATGCTGTGTCCGAAATCGACATATTATATATTAGTACTACATCCGCCATGTTGTCACTGTCCTGTGACATACGGTATCAGTTGCGTCGCTTCACCTCCAATCACAAATTCTCTCCTGTGGCCTCATGGGTTGGTAAACTGTCCATCGAATGCACATTCAGAATCTCGCCGGAAGTAGTAGGTAATTCGGGTACTTTTCGCCTACTGTTTTATGAATACTATGAATTCGGACATACTACTCAGGTCACATACTGTTTTTCGCCTACTGTATAGTATAGAAGTTGGCCTTTTTCAGATGCAGAGCTAACCTCCTGCAGAGTTCAGTTCCAATTCTGCTCAAGCACACCTGTCTGCAATTCTCAAGCATTCCTGAAGATCTTAATTAGCTGGTTCAGGTGTATTTGATGAGAGCTGGAGCTGAAGGTTGCAGGAAGGCAGATCTCCAGGAACAGGACTGGGCACCCCTGGTGTAAGTAGACAATTTGTTGCTTTGCAGAAGTGTGAGTAACCGTAAAGTGTGTGATGGTGTGTGTGTGTGTTTTGCTGCATTCACATTAATTTCTCCACCCCCAGCAGTCTGAGCTTCCCCTTTTTTACCGTAAGTGGCAGAAGACATTCCCTGCACTTCTTCCCTTCAGCTCTTACTGTCAGCTTCTACTTTCACTCTGTAGTGGGGAAACGGAGCTCTGCCTTCCACATCTACAGGAATTCCTCCACTGTCTGAGAGGCCAAATTTTAATATATATATACACATTTTTAATATAAATATTATTTTATTTTAATAATTTAAACTTTCAAAGTCAAGTCATCTTTAATTATATAGTACTTTATACAATACAAAGTGTTTCAAAGCAGCTTTACAGTGATACACAGAAAAATAATGAATAAACAGAATTCAATTCTGCTGTAATGCAGCTCTAAAAAAGACAATAGTGCCATTATTCAGCTGAAGTCAGTTCAGTGTTGATTCAGTTTGGTTTATTCAGCTTGGTTTATTTTAAAACGTTTATTTATTTATTTATTTCTGAATACACTACTGTTCAAAAGCATTTTTATTTTATTTGCATTTATTGATAAAAATTCAGTAAAAAACGTAATATTGTGAAATATTATTAAAACATTAAATGTTTTCAATCAATTATCAACGTTGAAAACCATTTTTGTGGAAACCATGGTACTTTTTATTTTTAATAATAATTTTTAAATCATTTTAAATGTCTTTACTGTAACCTTTCTTCAATTTGATGCATCCTTTTAAAAAAAACAATAAATAAAAAGTCTCACTGACCCAAAATGTTTAACTGTAGTGTATAGGTGCATATATATATATATATATATATATATATATATATATATAGTATATGACTATAATTGATACATTTAATATAACATTTTTTTACCTTCCTTTTTAAATATATAAATTATATGATATATAAATATGATTGTATATGATAATTATATCATATTTCCTAATTGATGTGGAAGCCCCTATAACCTCACAACCCTGACCTGTTTTCAGGAATGGTTTGGCATCCTATTTTTATATATTGACACACGCTTTAATTTCAAAGCACTTAAGTCCCCATGTATGTAAAAAGTTGGTTTGCATGAAGCAAGGTTTAAGGGTTAAAAGAAATAAGAGAGAGGGTGGGTTGGCCTGATGTGTCCTGCTTTCATCAGTGCATGTGTCAGCAGAGAGTGGCCTGGAGTAAACGCGTGCCACGAGTGCACATTGCACAGTCACACGCACACACACATATATACACAGTGTTTGCAAACTGCCTTAATGGCTAGAGGGAGGTTAAATGTAGGCTAGTCAGCCTGTAAATGGGTCTGCAGTGAACCCAGGTCAACCAGGCATGCCCAGTCACTGAGAATGTCACACACAGCCACAGCATCTATAAAAGCACAGCACTCCTGGGATTACAGAGATGGGCTAAAATAAGAAGAAATCCAGTGGTGTGATGAGGTTAAAGAATGTAAAAGAGAGAGAGAGAAAGAGGCTGCATTGAATGTGAAGGTCAAAGACCCCATGAAATTGTGGCTTTTAGTTTTTATCTGTTAGCTTAGAGGAGGCCGTCTATATTGCAGTGTACTCCTAAAAGTTGATAAAACAATATTGATCTTTTAGCAGATATACAGAATTAAAATCTCTACTGGAATAATGGACCAGATGGAACTTTCTCTTGTACAGTATGTACTGTTTGCAATCATTAGAAACACAACAAATGTTTTGTTGTTATAAATATTAGATATTTTAAACCAGAGGTTTTCAGGAGTGGACAGTCAATAATTTAGATCAGATTCCAGTTGGATAAACAATTAATTGGATTTTGGACTGACCGAACATAGCCCATGTCTCCCTTATCTGACACACCCAATTCAGGGCCGTGTCTGAAATGTCAGAAATCGACCCCTATACCCTAAGATAGGGCACTATTTGAGGGAACAGCTATTTGTAGTGGTGTCCAAAACCATGTTTAGGATGTTATCGAGTACACTCGTTCAATCCCACAATGCACCGCAATAATGATTATACAATGTACACTCAATGGCTAGAGAATACCAAAAAATGCACTGTGAGAGTCGCGCGCCGATTCCACCGAATTAATTCTCACTTCTCGTCAGAAGATGGTGCCCGCAGGTGAATCATTCATCCATCCATTTTCCAAACTGATTGTCCAATGTGGCGACAACGTAATATCATACTGGTATAAATTCCTTTTTAATTGAGTATTTCCATGTCATTGTTCAAGTTAAATCTTTTCATGACTACTGGAGCTGGCTGTTTGCTACGTTTCAAAGGATTTTCTAAACAGCAAGCACAAGCGGCAGCCCTTCCGGCGCAATCAGCGTCCGAATTCACTCACTCGTTTTCATTCACTCCCTCAAATGTACGAAATTAGTGGACTAATATAGGGAATAGTGAATGAGGGTATAGGGGGCTGTTTCAGACACAGCCCAGGTCTTGCAGTCTCTACTAATGAGCTGATGAGTTGAATCAGGTGTGTTAGATGAGAGAAACATACAGGGCAGGTTTGAAAACTGTGTTAATTGCGTTAAATATTTAAAATTGTGTTAAACTGACA